TTTGTTTCCAGCTGTAACAAAATAAAATGACAGTAGAAGCAAAAGGATATTATGCAGGCCACATTTTTGAAAAGATGGACCCTGTCATCACAGATTTCTGAAAATGACCAGAGGAAAAAAAAAATCAACTGGGCCACTTATAATTTCAGGGTCAAAGATCACTAGCTAACTATGCTCCACCAGTCAACACTGATATTCGTGTCTGGCTTTAGGGCACGGTGCTCATCTCCATTTCTTGGCCAAGGGAGCCAGCGTTGTCTGAAGACAATTTCCATGGTCACGCGGTAAACATGACTATTCGCCAAAGGCACAGGGAACACGGTTACCTTCGCACCAAAGTGCTACCTATTAATATACCTGCATTTGCATGTTTTCCAACTGCTAGGTGGGCAGGAGCTGGGGCAAGGAATGGGAGCTCACCTTGTCTCATGGAGCTCGGGTCTCAAACCCAGACTGTCAGTTCTCTGACTAGCTCAGCGTCTTTAACTGCTGAGCCATCATGCCCCCTCAGATGTCAGTATGCTAGGCGTAATCTCTTCAATCTTCTTTTTAACATACAGCTCCAATGAACTTAATTTCAAAATCTGACCTATTATAGTTTGAAGCTTCCATTATAATCAAATTTATGGGAGGCTGGAGAAGAACTGTCTTTGTGTTAATAAACAGGGTGATTTCTTATACTTCACATTTTCAAACCATGTTTCTCTTGCTATTACAGGATAGTGCATCACCATACTTCTGCAGCTAATTAAACTCACCATCCAAGATGAGCTTTTAAAAATAATTTCACCCGTCCAACCATCTCAGATCAATGGTTTGTTTTGTTCGCCAGGCTGTATTTAGCTGTGCTCTTCTGCTAATGTAATAAATATTGCTGCTGTATTGAATTTCCTTTTCCTTGTTATATTCTCATATCTACATCAAGGGCATGAATAGAAGTTGACTTAATGAAAGTGTTGTTTTTTTTTTTCAAAGAGCAAAACAGAGAATTAAATCCACAGAAATACTTGGGGAAAAGGAGGAATCAACTTTAATTTGTCCAGTGCTAGTAACTGAAATATAAAATGGCATTTGCACACATGTTATACCCACATAACAAATTTCCACATTAGTCACCTGACCAATACAATACTCAATAGATGCAGTCTTTCAAATCGCTTCAACCACATCTGGAGACTTGCAAACAAAAATACAAGCAACATTCAAACCATTCAAAAACAAACCAGTTTGACTTCGAACAATCAAACCATCTGGCTGTTAACAAACATAATATGTGGGATTTGCTATTGAAGGGCAACATTTTTGCCCCCTATGGTAGCAAATTATTACAGTTATACCTATGGTATTACACAGTAGCCTCCAAAATGTCATGTAATAGTGCATACGAAGATATGAAAATCTGAATATGCTTGCAAAAATATATGGAGCAGAGAGCTTTAATCGAAGCCAGGGGTTAGAAAGTTGATATGTTCAAAATTAAATGAGTATCATTGCAAGATAGAAACCTAATGCTAAGTAAACTTGTCAAGATTATTTCAAAAGGATTACACACCAGGTCCCAGCCTACCTCTATAGCCATACTTATATAATAAAAATTAATTTTCAGGGAGTGCTAGCAAGTTAAAAATACTACTAGCTTAATTATTACCTAAGATTTATAATTTCCAACTCAGGATTTATACATAAAGAAAAGTAGAGCTTAGTATGGCCAGCTTTTGCTAATTAAAAAAGACAATACTAAAATTCATAAACGAATGGTCTGAGACAGTATGATAGTTTTCTACATTTCTACCAATCGTATCAACCCAAACAAAGTTTAGGTAATCTGTAAAATTCTTAACTCCCTTGTTATTCTCAACTCTCAGGTATTACTTCTGTTATAATGTGAATTTGGCCAAGCCCCCTTTTTATGACAATACATATTAGTTATATGTACAATGTCTGATGCATGATTTCATACACAAACACACACTAACAAATTTTATTATAAGTGTGTTAGCCTCTAATGAGCATTAAAATTGTTTTTTGACAAATGGTCCCCAAACTTGGCAGCATTAGAGAAATTGCTACTTTAATAGTATCTTCTTAATTTACAAAAAGCAACAGTTAGCAACAGAATTGCTACTAAGTAGGGATGTTGAAAATAATTACAGGAAATGCATAAAAGTACTATTATAATGCTAAGTAGTGACAGACCTAAATTAAAGAAATATTTATGGCATATATTTACAGCAATTATATAAGTATAAGAAAAGAAGAAAAAAACATCAAGCTGGCATGACAATATAATGACTTCTGTATAGTTTTAAATGTTTCATTCCTTTTGCATCTGAAATGCCTTTTAACTTCTGAAAAAAGACATTGAAATAATTAAATTAGTGAAGATCAGGAAGACAGAATATAGTAGTTCAATAATCAAGACTTCCATTTAAAAAATGCAACAGTTAATTTGAAGTTCAATGAAAGCAATGCAGAAAAAATGCAATTAATCATTGCCAGGTGCTGAACATTTGGCCCATCATTTACCCTGGTAAATGGAAGTATTAATTTTTTGAGAGAAGTGAAAACACTCTCAAGCAGAATCCACACAAAACATAAAAAGAAAGTTGATTTCTGAATTATATTTGGCAAGCAAAAGTCACTGGGATGATGAACTACAATTCATGTGGCTTCCCGAAAGAATTGTGTCAAGCTTTTGTTAGTAATTCTCAATGGAATTAGCAAATATTCCTAATAGTATCTGAATTTCATTCAAAAAAAGGGGGGGGGACTAGACAGGAAGTTAAATATTGTCTAGATTCCAAAGGCCAGTTCACATACTTTATCTCCATAGAAAAGTGTGCCATTCTACAAGGTATAGGCCAGGAAACACCTGTCCTATGTGTATTTCACTTACATTAGTAATACACCAGTTCTATAACATAAATCAATGTAATTAATCTCCTGTTACAAGAGAGGGAGAGGGAGAGAGAGGAGAGGCCACTGAAGGACAAAAGCTATCCAGCAAAATCATGGCTAACATGCAGACTAAAAGTTTCCACATTCAGCTTTCTGAACAGGTATATTTGATAGGTTTCTTAGTAAAGATGTCCGGTTACATTTATTACGATAAATATTCCACATTAAAAAAAAAAAAAAAAAACAAGGGCACAGTTTTAGAACCATGATCACCGAGGCTCCCTACTATCCCTTTTCAAAAGCACCTAATTTCCTTCTGACATTTGAAGGAGTCCTCAATGGAAAAACCCTTAGATGCAATCTAAGTGCGCTTTAATACAGACTACATGGGGCACCTCTCCAAGAAGTCTTGAACAAAATCTATCCTTCCCGTCAAGCCTCATAAAGTCTGGTTGGCCAGGCCAATTTTTACAAACATAGACTATCTGTGTTCCCATGAGAAATCTATTCTGTCAAATATTAACAAACAGCACTGCTTTAACACAGAAATCCAGTTGTATATGATACAATCCTCTGGAATAGTTTTAAACAAGGTGCATCCAGAAAATTCCAGTTATTCAACAACCCAAAGGGAAAACAAATAATCAAACCCTTAATGAGGTTTATAGATTTTGAAAGTCTCCAACCCCGAGGAGCTGCAGAAGGGAAGGATTCGGCCTCCTTTAGAAGATCCCCTAAACTCCAACCAGCAAGGGGGAAAAAAAACCACAACCAACCAGCTTTCCCCAATTCCACTGCAATGCCGAAACAGTCAGAACTCAAATGTCTGCGGGGCATTTCTGCCAAGACAGCAGAGCAAGAAATGAAAAGAGGGGACAGGATTTCTCCCCACCCACCAAACTGGGGAGATGTGAGGAAGGATTCCACACACACCCCAATTTTCCTAGGAAAAGGAAAAAAAGAAGGGAGAGACAGTCAATCCACAACAGCAGGAACTGTCTCAGGACTGTTAGCCATGGTGTGTTGCTCACCATGTTTGAATGTCAAGGCCCAAATAAGGCCTTCCTTTACCTGGCCAGAGCAGCCCTTTGAAAGGTGAGGCCCACCTGTCCTCCTACCCCTTCAGCTCACCTGGGGAAGGAAAGGAGCAAGGAGGACCAGCAGTAGGACAACTGTAACCTTCTCCTCTTCCTCCACGGCCCACAAGACTTGCCTCTCCATCCAAACAAGGCTGGAGAGGAAGAGAGAGAGAAAGAGGGAAGGAAAAGAAGGAAAGAAGAGAAAGAGGAGGAGAGGAAGAAGAGGGCAAAGAGAAAGAGAAGTAGGAGGAAAGGAGAAGAAGGGGAGAAGAGGAAGAAATAGGGGAAAAGGAGGAGGAGGAAAGAAGGGAGGAAAAAATGAAGAAAAAAGAGAGGAAAAAGGAGGAAAGTAGAGGAGGAAGGGGAGGGAGAAATAGGGGAAGGAGGAAGAAGAAAAGAAAGAAAAGGGGAACGGGAAAGAAAGGAGGGAGGGAAAAAATGAGGAAAGAAGAAAGGAAAAAGAAGGAAAGTAGAGGAGGAAGGGGAGGGAGAAATAGGGGAAGGAGAAAGAAGAAAAGAAAGAAGAGGGGAAAGAGGAACGGGAAAGGAGAGGAAGAGGAAGGAAAGAAGAAAAGGAAGAAAAAAGAGGATCAAAAAGGAGGAAAGGAGAGAGGGAGGAAGGAGCAAGAGGAAGACACAGGGGAAGGAGAAAGAAGAAATAAAGAGGGGAAGTGGGGAAAAAAAGAAAAAGAAGGGAGGAAGAAGAGAAGGAAGAGAAGGAGAAGAAAGTCGCCCTGCTCCAGAACCACAAACACGCGCGGGACTACAACTCCCATCACGTCCTCCAGACCAGAGAGGCGAGGCCAGGCCCAGGCTGGGGGTGATGGGCTCTGGGGTCCTCAGGAAAGCAATGATGCCAAAAGAGGCAGCCCCTCTCCCCTCCCCACCCCACCCACCCCCAAACTCCGCATCATCCCAGGCGCCGGCTCCCCCAGTGGGACGGCGCCGGCCGTTGTCGCCCGCGGCGGGCGGGCTGGCTGGCGGGCGGCGTGGAAGTCGGCGGCGGCGCCCCGGCGTCTGTACCTGTGAGGCGGACTTTGATGCTGGAGCCGGCCCTCCGGGTGCCCGCGTTCGACATCGCTCCCCCTCAGACCGACCCACACGCAGGGCAGGAGGCGGGATCAGCCGCCGGCCACGGACGCCCCCATCCGCGCTTCCTCGGCCGCCCGTCGTTGTCGCCGTCAGGCCCGACCTGCTCGATTCCTCTCCCTTCCTTTTTCTTCCTTATATATATTTTATATATATATATATATATATATAATTCGCCTTATTCCCTTTTTGGTTCAAAAACGAAGAAGGGCCATTATCCTCCTCGGTTACGGAACTCAACCGCTCCGGTTCTCCTCACGAAGAAGCGGCGGCGGCGGAGGCGGCGCCGCCTCACGGAGCTCGACGCCCGCCCCGCCGGACGCGAACGGCGACTGCGCGGGCTCGCGCCGCCCCTCCCCTGAGCCAACCGCCCGCCTTCGAGGCCGGGCTCGGCGCCGCCCACTTTTTTTTTTTTTTCCCTCTATGTGTCTGTGCGTGTGTGCGTGTGTGCGCGCGCGCGCTTACGCCAGAGCGGCGGCCATCTTGGGGAGGTCCCGCCTATCATAAACCTAGAGCAGGGATGGGCAACTGTGGCCCCTTTTACAACCTGTGGACTTCAACTCCCAGAATTCCTGAGATAGCCAAGCTGGCTCAGGAATTCTGGGAGTTGAAGTCCACAGGTTGTAAAAGGGCCACAGTTGCCCATCCTGACCTAAAGAGAGAGAGAGGAGGAGGGAGGGAGGAGGCGGAGTCTCTCGGGGGGCGTGGTGAAGTGTCCCGGCTATGAAACTACCAATCCCGTCAGCCCTCGGAGGTGGGACAGTGGGAAAGGAGTCAGCCAATCATGGGGCGGTTTCTCTCTGGAAGGGCACAGGTGGCCCACACACCTGAGGAGGAGATGCTCATCCTGATGGCTCAGGATGATGGGAGGTGTGGTCGGTGGCGTTTTGGAAAAGCAGGATTGGGCCCGTGGAAGGAAACAAATTATAGTTCCCTCAAGGAGAAGCCCAGGGCAGGGAAAGACTGCTTCAGTTGAATGACTGAGATTGCATTTTTTTTTGTTGCTTTTGCAAAAAAAACAAAATTGCAATTTTTGTTGTTGCAAAACAAAAAATAATTGCAATTTTTGTTTTTAATATCTGTAGAGGGAAAATCGGGGTTATAAATCCGGAAGGCATTTTTATTTTATTTTTTTGCAAACCTAAGGGCTGAAAATTGTCAATTTTCTTTTTTTTTAAAAAAGCTAAGGATGCGAAGTTGTGTAACCGGAGGCTTCTCTTTTTTTTTCCCATCTGGCATCTCCCACTGGAAGTTGGTTCAGAAGTTGGGTTGACAGCTTGGTTAACTGTGGTTTGTGAAATAAATAAATCACGATTGGCTGGGTCTCCCTCTTCATTCTCATCACCTCCTTCTGGTTGTGTTTGCGCAATATATGTTACTCAGTATATTTATTTATTTATTTATTTATTTATTTATTTATTTATTTATTTAATTTGTATACCGCCAACAGGACTTACCGCCAACAGTATTGTATACCGCCAACAGTATTCTCCAACAGGACTCAGGGCGGTGAACAGCCACGGTAAAACACAACATATAAAATTTAAAAGCAGTTTAAAAACATTAAATAATTTTGGCCATCAATTTAAAACAACCCAATTTCAAACCAATTTCAAATTAAAACCGCAAGGATGGGATCAAGCCAGTATAGGAATGAGGTGCCGATTCGCTTTGCAACCACGATCCCCATCTGAAAACAGGAGTGACTTGTGATTTGCAATCACGAAGCGGTTAGGAGGACAAATTGGAAAAAGTTCACTTTCAAAATTAAACAGGTTAAAAAAGCCAGAAGTGTAATTTTGTGGAGCCTCCAACTCAAAAACGGGATGTAAATCTCACAAACAGACAATGCAAAGTTTTGAGCCACACACAGAGCCCTTCCAGCAGGGGGGGAAACTATCATAATCCTGATTTATGCACCAGGATAACAAACTCGTCAGGACAGCAGAGGGCAGCTCCACAGATACTATTCTGAGAGTATTACTGTTTGATGATGGAAAGGGGGAAATGATTAGTAGCAATAAGAATTTGCAGCCAAAATAAAAGTTACGGAGGAAGAGAAAGCGGATGGGGCTAATAACTTTCTAACAAATACCTCTAGCTACTCTACAAAATCCTAGATTAAATTGTTAATATGCACCTTCTCCTTGAAAGGGAGTGTGCATTTGAGACTTGGCTCCCTCTTTCCCCACGGACAGCTATCATTCCAGCTCAGTTTGCAGGAATTCACAAGTGATAGGGTTTCCTGCTAAGCTCTGCCTTCTGGAAGACTGATCAGGGCAGCAGTCATTTCTCCATAAAAACTACTGATTCCTTGCTTGTTCTCCACCCATCCCATGCAATAATTAACATTACAGATGAGACACAGTCCCGACTAAGTGTCACCACACCTCTCAGGGAAGGGTGACAGTTCCTTGAAGATCCCCACCCTGGTCTTTGCTACAGTGGGAACAAATAAGTGATTAAAGGTAAAGGTTCCCCTCATACGTGCTAGTCGTTCCCGACTCTAGGGGGCGGTGCTCATCTCCGTTTCAAAGCCAAAGAGCCAGCGCAGTCCGAAGACATCTCGGTGGTCATGTGGCCGGCATGACTCAATGCCAAAGGTGCATGGAACGCTGTTCCCTTCCCACCAAAGGTGGTCCCTATTTTTCTACTTGCGTTTTTTAAGTGCTTTCGAACTGCTAGGTTGGCAGAAGCTGGGACAAGTCACGGGAGCTCACCCCATTATGCAGCACTAGGGATTTGAACCGCTGAACTGCTTCTTGAAAAAAAGGACTTTTAGGACATCTATGGAGATTCTCAGTCATCCAAGTCATGGTTGCCCCAAAGATGCTTTTTCCAAAAGATGCTGTTCGAATAAAGTTTGTTTGTTTTTTCACTGACTGATTTTCCTACTACTTACTTGGGCCTGGGTCACAACAGAGATTCTCTGCAGCAACACAAACGTTCATTGCACATATCCAGCCCAGGGGATATGTGATTTAGTGCAATATAAAAAATACAAATCATTTTTCTGCAGACCACCAAAATTTTCTCACCGACCACCAGTTGGTGACCGCTGTTCTAAACGACTTTTTTTTTACAAGGATGGTGATTTACAAAGAGACTTTTCCCAGATTCACACACATCGCGTAAAACTCTGCTGGAGTTCATTATGCTTGTCGTGTTAGTTACTCCTCATGCGTAATGGGGCAGAACGTGGAATGAGTCGTTGAGATGGGTAAGACTTCAACTCCCAGAATTCCTCAACCAGCTGGGGAATTCTGGGAGTTGAAGTCCGCACATCTTAAAAGTTGCCAAGGTTTGAGAAACTCTGCTACAACATATGGATGCTTCTACAAGGCCGGCTGAAGAAGTCTGCTCTAGATCGAACTGTTTTCACAGCAAGGAGAAGAAAGGAAGAGACATAGTCCAGGCACAATTTCTGCAAAGTCAGGAGAGTGATTTATTATAACAAATGACATATTGTTAACCCTTTTTTTCATCCCTCCCTCTTAGTGCTCACCCAAAAAGAGCATCCATCACCATGTTTGAAGGCATGCAACAAGCTAAGCTCTTTCAGAAATCGAAAAAATCTCGCTGTTCGGCTTTAAAAGGCAGAGTTTTCGTCTCTTCATTTTCACGGTTTAGGTCTTCAACCTCCTAACATCGATGGGAGAAAGAAAAGAGGGGGAAAAAATCAATATTTTCCTTGCAGACTTTTCAAATCTGTTACTTTAACTTCCCCAAAATTCCAAGCATTATAATTTGATGAAAGAGACAAATTCCTTTTGTGTCCAATCATCACACTTGGCCAATAAAGAATTCTATTCTAACACCAGAAGCAACTTTTCACAGGTCAGATCTGCAGATGGTGCCAAGTATTGCTTTACACGTTTCCTTTGTGGAGCAAACCACGAATGGTTGCATTTGTCCAGCATAGAAAATCAAAACTGAACAAAACCGTAATTTATTAGTTAAAGTGGGAATCAGGCCTCTTATCTCTTAAGACTTATGCAAATAAAACTTCTCTTAACTATGGTTTATTGAATAAACGGCAGGGGCCAAGTTCGTACCGCAGGCTAAATCTAAGTCAACAATGTCAGTTAATTTTTCAAATGCTTTACAACAATTCACAAACTCGCCAAACAACTCTCAGGACAGTGTTGAAATCTCAGCAATAGAGTTAACCAGTGACTGCTCCAGTGGTGGGTTTCAAATTTTTTTACTACCGGTTCTGTGGGCGTGGCTTGGTGGGTGTGGCAGGGGAAGGATACTGTAAAATCTCCATTCCCTCCCCACTCCAGGAGAAGGATACTGCAAAATCTCCATTTTCTCCCGATCAGCTGGGACTTGGGAGGCAGAAAATAGATGGGGACGGGGCCAGTCAGAATTTTTACTATCGGTTCTCCAAACTACTCAAAATTTCCGCTACCGGTTCTCCAGAACCTGGTCAGAACCTGCTGAAACCCACCTCTGGACTGCTCCCAACGGGGTTAAAAATATGCTCAGAAGCTAGCAGTTCCCAGATGTTCTTTGAATGGAGAAGGAATTTCCCAGCTGATAGGATACTGTTAGTTCTTCTTTAAAAGCTATGCTTTTCAAGAATAACTTGGGAATTTGATGGCAGCGCCCACTTACCTCTCCAGAAAAGTATTTCTCAATGAGGGCTAGAGCAGCGCGATAGACCAAGTTATTCTCATGAGTCTGAAGAGCTTCAATCTTCTCCACGCCTTCCAGCTCCTCAACCAGAAGGCCCAATTTTTCTGTCTCACCCAACTTCTCAGCTGTCTGGTATGGAAAAAAAGAAAACACGAGTTGTAGGTCAGGCACTGCCTTCCTCTGTTGCACAAAGCAACAGAGGTTTAATCCCGGTGAATGAAACAAGGTAAGGGGTGGGATTTATCCACTGCTCCAAGAAGGGTTAGCTTTGAAAGCAAAACTGTGCTTAGGCAGAGTTAGACAATCATGGTTTTACACAAAGGGAGATCCAGGTCACCAAAGGGTGTAGATCCGTGATGGCGAACCTATGACACACGTGCCACAGATGGCACACAGAGCCATATCTGTGGGCACGTGAGCGTTGCCCTAGGTCAGCTGATTTTCGGGCCTTCCAGGCCCACCGGAAGTTGGGAAACAGGCTGTTTCCGGCCTGCGGAGGGGTGGGGAAGGCCGTTTTCGCCCTCCCAAGGCTCCTAGAAAGCCCCTGGAGCCTGGGGAGGGCGAAAAATGGACCTACTGGGCCCACCATGCCATCACGTGCCAAAAGTGGGGGGAGCATGGGGGAATGCGCACGCATGCGCGGGGTACAGGGGGCATTGAATTATGGGTGTAGGCACATGTGCACGCGACACCACCACCCCCGCACTCCCCCCGCTTTTGGCACGTGACGGCAAAAAGTTTAGCCATCACTGATGTAGATGATGACCAGGTTGAACCTGAGGGAGGGGTCAAGAACGTCATCAGTCTTGAGTCTCTTCGCAACCACAAGAGATCAAAGTCCAGCCCAGCTTGAATTCCTATGACTCTTACCTACCGCCGATTTGCTTTGACTGTTAGTAGCTCAGATTCTTGTAGAGAACTTAAGCTTGCAATAAACCTTTATATTCACTTGAACTGCCTGGCTCCCTGATTTCCCGCGCTTGATAAAGGGCCTTGCTTTACACATCAAGGACATCTTTGAAGCTAAGACTCCACACCTCCTATCTGGAAGAGCAGATTCATCACCCACCAAAATGCCGGCTTCAAGTTAAGAATCTTGGAGAAACTAGATTTCCTGATTTCTACCTCCTTTCTTAAGGCCCACGAAGCCAGATCTGAAAGAATAGATCCTCTCTAAGCCACAGTCTAAATAAGCCTGAATGGACACATCCCCAGGTCAGTTTCTAGCAGGAATCAGAATAGAGCTGGAAGGCACCTTGGAGGTCTACTAGTCCAGCCTCCTGTTCAAGACCCCTATATCATTTCAGACAAGTGGCTGTCCAGTCTTTTCTTTAAAACCTCCAGTGATGGAGTACCCACAAGTTCTGAACTGGTTCCACTGGTTAATTGTCCTCACTGTCAGGAAGTTTCTCCTTAATTCCAGGTTGCTTCCCTCTTTGATTGGTTTCCATTCATGGTTTCTTCTCTTGCCTTCTGGGTGCTTTGGAAGATAAGTTGAACTCCCCCCCTCTTCTTTGTGGCAGCCCCTCAAATACTAGAATACTGCTACCCTGTCCCCTCCCCCTGAGTCCTTCTTTTCTCTAGACTAGCCATACCCAATTCCTGCAAGTAGGAACCTAAGTGGATCAACAGAACAGCTCACAATAAATCCAAATTCTCTATCATTCCAGCTCGGTACGATCTATAGTTTCCTTCCTTATCCTTACCCGGAAGAAGTTGGTGAGACTGTCCAAGATCACAAGGATGGTGTTACTATCCTTGACGGACAACAGGTTGAGCAGAGGTTTCAGGACTCCGGCCCGGATCATCGACACCACTTGCTGCACCGTGCCGCCCATTGTGATATTGGCCACAGCCCAAACACCTTCCTTCTGGGCTTTGTAGTCTCCCTACACATGGAACAGAAGTACAGAACCTTAAGAAATATACGAACATGGCTCCTGCAGGTAGCTCTCCACTTACGAATCGGCGACTTAGCATATGGTCAGTGTTATGACGGACCTGAAAAAGGGGACTTATGACCAGGGGTGAAATCTACTTCCCTTCCCTACCGGTTCGGAAGTGCATGCACAGAGGGTAAAAAAAAAGGTTAAAAATTAAGTGAAAAAAGGACGACTGAGCGGGTGGGCAGTGTTGTGGCCTGTACGCGGCCTGTGCAGATTGTAGCTGATTCCGACAGCGAGGAGGCTGGTGTGGTGCTGCGCCAGCAGCCTGAGCAGCTGGCACTCGAGTCGGACAATGAGGAGGCTGGAGACGATGTGGTGCCAGAGGCGGGGATTCAGCCAGGGCCTTCAGAACCTCCAGAAGCTCCCATAAGTGAAGAGGAAGAGCCTCTTCTTGATGCACGGGCGCGCAGAGCTGCCAAAAGGCAGGAGTGGCTCCTCAGGAGGAGGTCTCCTCGAGAGTAAGGCTTGGGGCTAATTGGCCACTCCCTTAGCCTATTTAAGGAGGAACGCCGACTGAAGCAATTTGCAGGGAACAACTTTAGTTCACTCTCCTTCGCATCTGGATCTTAGTTCTTTTATCAGTGTCCTGCAAATTGCTTCTGGGCTTTCTGCCAATCCTAGTACAATTATGATTATTTATTCTTTGGATTCTTGTAGGCTGTTAAGAAAGTTAATTAACAGCCTTTGTTTGAAAAAGACTGATTCAATTTAGTAAACTAAGGTTTGTATAGACTTTGTGTGTGCTGCGTTCTTTGGGGTCCGTAGCTGGGGCAGAACAGGCAGAGTCTTGTGCTGCTGTCGCTACCGGTTCTCCGGTTCTCCAACTTGGAGGCTTCAGGGATGCCACACAGCAGTGACAGAGGGGAAAATAGTTAAATTGGATTTTGTAGCCAAAACAATAACATTTTCCTGTGGGAACCAAGGTCGTTCTCACAAGTGGCTGGCCGGAGGAGGAGCAAGTAACCCAGCAACCAGCCAGCACCTGGATTGGACAGCGTGACCAGTGACTTTGGAGGAAAGAGAAACCTTTTACTTTTAATTAGGTGAAAGCCGCGGGAAACCTCAGAGTCGGCTTTCACCGGTCTGCGCCAATATGATGCATCCAATAAACGGTTCTTTGAGGAACTCGAGTGCCTCGGAGTTTGTTTTCTATGGGTGTGTTACTTGGAACACTGGCATCGTACCTTGGCCAGCAACTCCACCAGAGGAGGAAGCAGCCCGCAGGTGATCAGCTGCTGAATTTGGCTGCACGGTCCGGCAGCAATGTTGCTCAAAGCCCATGCGGCCTCCTTCTGGATCAATGACCTGGGATGACGCAGGAGCTGCGGCAGGACGGACAAGATGCCCGCATCGATGGCCATCTGGGTCTGTTCGTCTGTCCCGGTGACCACGTTGCCCATAGCACGCACAGCTGGGGTCTACAAAGATGTCCACCAAAGAGAAAGACAAGAAGATCATGGAGATCCATCACTAATATTCCCACAAGTGGAATGTTTGGATAGATGATCTTCACGGGGGCTGATCCCTCACCTAGCCTAGTATTACCTTCTAAAAAAAAAAAAATCACTCTTGCTTACCAGAATGTCGTTGACTATAGTACAGTGATGGCTAACCATTTTGCCATCGCATGCCAAAAGCGGGAGTCGGGAGGGTCACGCACGCACCTGCCCACCCCCATAATTCAATGTCCCCCCCCATGCCCTGCGCATGTGCGCATGACAGCCCCCACACAGATGACCCCTCCCTCCCCCATGCCCCATTTTAGGCCTAGCAGGCTTCCCTGAAGCCTCCGGAGGCCGGAAACGGCCTATTTCCTGACTTCTGGTGGGCCGGATAGGACTGTTTTTCGCCCTCCCCAGGCTCCAGAGGCTTTCCTGGAGCCTGGAGATGGTGAAAACAGCCTCCCTTTCCCCCGGAGGCCGAAAACGCCTTCCCAGAGCCTCCGTGCGAGCCCTGTACTTACCTGGCATCCAAAACAGGCCGCGTGGAGACTCCTGGGAGGGAAGGGGCAGTGTGGGTGGGGCCAGCCGAAAATTAGCTGGCCGGCGCACGCATGTGCGCTGGAGCTGAGCTAGGGCAACGCTCACGTGCCCGCAGATATGTCTCCACGTGCCACAGGTGGCACGCATGCCACAGGTTCGCCATCACTGCTATAGTACGTAGAGCTTTGGCCTACAAAGATCTCCACCAAGAGAAAGCAAAGACGACCACGGAGGTCCCTCACAAATGTCCCCCCCAAAAACCACTCTTGCTTACCAGAATGGGCAGCTCGTTGGTGAACAGGAGCTCCACCAGCCGAGGGAGGACTCCAGACTCCACCACAACCTGGATGCGATGGTTCGAGGCATCGGTCAAGTAGGACATCGCCCAACAGGTGTCAGAGATAATGTCCTTGTCTTTGTGTTGCAGGAGGCAAGTGAGGGTGGGAAGCACCTGCCTCACAGCGTCCAGTGGAGGGTGCGGGTTTTTGTTTCTGCAGAGATTGGACAAGGTCCAAGTGACGTTCCTCAAGAAGCCCACCTAAGAAATTAAGAAGATGTTCGTTAGGTTGAAAACAAGCAAGCCCTTAAAAAAAAAAAAAGAATGCGAACACGTTTCCAGATTCTCAAGGATAAGGCAGGAACTAAGTAACCCAGACAGCGATTTGAGGAAGTCCTCGACTTACACCCAGCTGTTTCCAAGTTACAACAGCACTGGCAGGGGTGAAATGCTCCCAGATCAGACCGGATCACCTGGTCCCGTAGCGATCTTGGCGATTCGGTAGCGATGGTGGAGCGAAGCTCCGCCCACCCACCCGGATGTCATTACTTCCTGGTTTTAACCCCATTCCCTGGGGGAAGGATATTGCAAAATCCCCATTCCCTCCCCACTCTGGGACCAGCCAGAAGTGGTATTTGCTGGTTCTCTGAACTACTCAAAATTTCCGCTACAGGTTCTCCAGAACCTGCTGGATTTCACCCCTGGAACAAACCCAAGGGAACAGACTTTCTACATACCGGGGTAGACGGCGTCACCAGTGACAGAATTGGCGGAATTACGCCGAAGCTGATCAAAGTATCTCGGTAGACAGATCCATCTCCTACACAAAACAGTGATGGGAAGGAGAATTGTACTTTCAAGAAAAAATCAACAACTCCAGGTAGTCAACTTACAACAGTTCATTTAGCAACCGTTACAACGGCACCGGAAAGTGTCTTAGGATCCTTGTAGCATCCCCAAGGTCACATGATCAAAATTCAGATCCTTGGGCAAACCGACTCACATTTATGACGGTCCCGGGGTTATGTCATCCCCCTTTTGCAACCTTCTGACAAGCAAAATCAACGGAGAAGCCGGATTCATTTAAGCACCCTTATTATTCGCTTAACAAATGCAATGATTCATTGAACAACGGTGGCAAGAAAAGTAAAGTAAAGCAAACTCACTTAACAAATGTTTCACTTAGCAACCTAAATTTTGGGGCTTGTTTGTGGTCATAACTCGAGAGCTACTTATATCTTGGAACTATATACCAGCTCAGATAAATTGGTAGACCCTGCCAATTTAGAAGAGATTCCGGTTTCTTAATCTTCTGCTTTCACGGTGGCGCAGTGGTTAGAGTGCAGTACTGCAGGCTACTCCTGCTGACTGCTGGCTGCCTGCAATTTGGCAGTTCAAATCTCACCAGGCTCCAGGTTGACTCAGCCTTCCATCCTTCCGAGGTGGGTAAAATGAGGACCCAAATTGTGGGGGAAAGAGGCTGACCCTGTAAACTGCTTAGAGAGGGCTGCAAAGCACTGTGAAGCAGTATATAAGTCTAAGTGCTAGTGCTGTTGCTATAACCCTTACTGTACAGTACATATAGCACACAAGGATCTTTGGAAAAAGAAATGTAAAAATGATGTCCGAATTATGCCTAATGTACAATTTTTAAGTCAGAATTTATGATTTTCCCCTTCCTTTAAAACATCATGAGCCATCATGAGTCACGGTGGTGCAGTGGTCAGAGTGCAGTACTGCAGGTGACTTCTGCTGACTGCCGGCTGCCTGCAATTTGGCAGTTCGAATCTCACCAGGCTCAAGGTTGACTCAGCCTTCCCTCCTTCCAAGGTTGGTAAAATGAGGACCCAAGTTGTTGGGGGAAAGAGGCTGACCTGCTTAGAGAGGGCTGTAAAATACTGTAAAGCGGTCTATAAATCTAAGTGCTATTGCTATTCCAGAGTGAAGCTAGCTACTGTAGCACAATACAATTTCATGCCGTACACTAAATTTTACACCCTTCTTGGTGGTAACTGGAATAATAAAATTGCTCTGTTAGTGCAATTACACTGGAGTCATTAAATTGCTGCCTGCGTGCGTGGAATGCACACAACAATCCAATGATGTCTTCACTCATGACTTGGCCCACCCTCCATGCAGAGATGATGGTTGGGTTCTATGTCCACAACTGATGGACATTGTTGGGGTATCAAAGAAGCCACATGTATCCTCTCCAGTAAGATAAAAGTCCATAGGACAGAAGATAAAGAGAGATAGGGAAGCCATTCCGTACCATAATCCACCAATAAATGAGAGCCAAGATACACCTAATTCTGTTTCCATGATTCTGTAACCGGCATTCGTCAGAACGAGCCAGCCTCACAACTTACCGGCAATGTTGCCGAGGGCCCACACCGACTGCTCACAGATGTGGATGTGTGGAGAAGACAAAAGGACAACCAAGCCCTGGACGCCGTTGGCATCTACCACAGCTTTGGTTTGCTCAGAGGTTCCTGAAGCAATGTTGGTGAGTGCCCAGGCAGACTCAAACTGCAAGTTGGGAGTATCGTGATAATACAAGAACTCCACCAGTTTAGGAATGATTCCAGATTCAATGACTTGATCGATGGGTGGGTTCTTTTGCTTGGAGAGCATCTTCCTGTTGGGAGAGGAGAAACAAGGGCGACCTTTAAGGTGGCCTCACCCTTCTGGAAGCACCACCCCAAGAGTGGCATTTCTCAAGGGACCTCTAAAATAACGGAGGCACCTTCAACATTTGAAGGTCATTCAGAAGCTATGCCTTGCCCATATCTGTGGTGGGATTCCCAATAGGCAGTATGGTTCTTAGAGGCAGGAGAACATGGGGATTGACAGCTTAGGTCATCTTTCATGTTGGATCACTCTATCCGGATTGTACCAACCATCTTTAGATAGGAATTTATAGTCCTGCAGTCATATGTTATCCATTGAGCTCCTCTAGAAACCTAGTGGCCATCATTGACTGGTTGATTTGATCTCCTGCTCTTCTCCTACGCCCGAGAACCAACCCAGTTAGTTAACTAACCAATGGCAACTGAGATGGATTGATGGGGGTCACAACTTATGGCTTTTAACATACCTGACTGCCTGGGCTGCCTTCAGCTGAAGAAATAGATCATCCGACTGGATCAGCTCAACTATATCTATCATAGAGATCTGAGTAACCTGCAGCAGGAAGCAAAAGGATTGTCAGAAGACCACCAGAAAGAGGTCATCAGGATTCACAGATGCTTCTGGCCATGCCAGGTATCGAACTACAAAAACAGCCAAGAACTTCATCTTCTGGTCAATACATGATTTACACTTATTATTCACACTAAGCCCCAAATAACAACCCATATCATAGTTTAGTATGCATGAACCAAGCACGACAAAGTCCTCAGATCTTGGCAATCCTCCATTTCTGTTTTCATCACACACCTCTCCAAAACTCTCGTGCTCACAGTCAACCGGTGTGAACAAATCCTACTCATATACAGGGATATGGAAAAGGGGGCCTTATAAAACCAGGCTCCTTCCAGATGTGTGAGAATTACAGACGCAGAATTCACAACCAAATACGAGTGAAATTTGGATTTCTGAACTTTGCAATCCCGAGAGATTTAGACAGCATGGGTTGGAAAGGCTGTTATATAGAAAATGAAATGTGTACTCTGGTAATATTGTACAACTAGAGCAGAGGTCAGCAACCTGCGGCTCTGGAGCCACATGTGGCTCTTTCACCCCTGTGCTGCGGCTCCCTGTCACTCAAAATATGCATCACAACCGCCAATGTGCGACACCCGCCGGCACGCAATTTATTGAGCTTTTGAATCCCCGGTAGGCCAACCATGGATAAATCCAAGAAAAGAAAAGTTTCGGAAGAAAACAGAACGTTGAATTCAACTACATATGCTAGTTTTGTGGCCGCTCAAGAAATAGTCAGGCACGGGAAGGGTTTTGTGGCTCCCGGTGTTTTCTTTTCCTGTGGGAAACAGGTCCAAATGGCTCTTTGAGTGTTTAAGGTTGCAGACCCCTGCATCCAAAACATTTGCTAGACCAATTCTCAAATACAGCTCATTCTGTCTGAAACCCGCACTGCATATTGGACATAAATACAATCGAGAGAGTCCAGAGATATTTTACGAAAAGAGTCCTCCATTCCTCTACCCACAATCAAATACCTTCTGCCACCAGACTTCAAATTTTGGGCTTAGACAACTTAGAACTATGCCGACTTCGGTCTGACCTAAGTGTAGTACATAAAATTATCTGCCACAATGTCCTTCCTGTCAATGACTACTTCAGCTTCGACCACAACAATACATGAACAAATAATAGATACAAACTCAAGGTAAACCGCTCCAAACTCAATTGCAGAAAATATGACTTCAGTAACAGAGTGGTCAATGCCTGGAACTCACTACCTGACTCTGTGGTCTCATCCCAAAACCCCCAAAACTTTAACCTTAAACTGTCTACTGTTGACCTCACCCCATTCCCTCTCCCAGGAGCCCTGGTAGCGCAGCAGACTAATGCACTGTTATTAACATCAGCTGCCTGCAATTACTGCAAGTTCAAATCTCACCAGGCTCAAGGTTGACTCAGCCTTCCATCCTTTCTAAGGTGGGTAAATTGAGGACCCAGTTTGTGAGGGCAATAAGCTGACTTTGTATAAATATACATGAAGGCTATTGCTTAACGCATTGTAAGCTGCCCTGAGTCTTCGGAGAAGGGCGGCATATAAATCAAATTAAAATTAAAAAAAATAAAATAAAATCCTAAGAGGTCTGTAAGGGGTGTGCATAAGATCACCAGCGTGCCTTCCGTCCCTTTCCTAATGTTCCTTTTTACTCTTACTCTTTTCATGTATTCAAATTATGTTTATCCTTTTACCTGTTATCTTATATCTGCTTGACAAATAAATAAATAAATAAAAATAAAGTAAATAAAACTAGATGTGATATATTCTTGAACTAACACCTACAGAGGGAGGAGGTAAAAATGAGTTTTACTACGGAGCATTTCTCCTTATCACACTACTACTACCACCCACCCACGCATACCACGTTCTTCTCGTCTTTCTCGGGAGACAGGCTGGCTTCAGCCAAAGAGCAGATGTTCCTTCGCTTCAAAATCTGTTCGTCTTTCCGTGCTTTGCGAAGTTCAACTCTCACTTCAATTTTTCGTCTACGGATTTCCTACCAAAGAAGAGGGCCGAGCATTACAGATTTTTAAAACAGCCAGTGATGAGCCGTACGATTGGAAGTGCAGGGAACAAGAGGAATTCGGGATTATCATCAGGGTTCAAAAGATCAAATGTCCCTGAGCAAAACCAATTCTTACCTGCCACTATCAAACTTCAGAGAAGGATAGACAACAGGGTTTACAGCAGTGGCCAAAACTGTGGAAACCTTTTTGGGAAAAGTGTATTTTTGTGGTTTGATGGCTAATAACACCATTATTATTATTTTTTTTGGAGTTTCAAGATAATCCTATTCCACTGCTGGAATGGCCTGGGAATAGCCCAGACCTTCACCCAATTGAAAATCTACAGAGCTGACTAAAGAAACTTGTTAGTCTGAAGCCACCCAGCAATAAAACCCAGTTAATAGAAGCAATCATTCAATCTTGGTTTCACATTAGAACTGCTGCAGAACTAAAAGACTTGGTTCACTCCATGGGAAGACGTTGTAAGGCCATAATTCATGCTAAAAGTTACCCAACTAAGGATTAATTGACATGGTGATAATTTTTGTATATCTCCTTTTTTCTAGGGTGATAATTTTTGTATATCTCATTTTTTCTATGTGTTTCGCTTTTCTTCTCTATACTGTACCTGCTATTCTAGTAGCAAATCCTTCCTAAAAGTTATTGCATTACATTCTTGATTAAATTATCTTTCCATTGATATATAATTTTATGGTACTACTCCATTGGTGGGTTTCAAAACTTTTTACTACCAGTTCTGTGGATGTGGCTTGGTGGGTGTGTCATGGCTTGGTGGGTGTGGCTTGGTGGGCGTGGCAGGGGAAGGATACTGTAAAATCTCCATTCCCACCCCACTCCAGGGGAAGGTTACTGCAAAATCCCCATTTCCTCTGGATCATCTGGGACTTGGGAGGCAGAGAATAGATGGGGGCGAGGCCAGTCAGAATTTTTACTACCGGTTCTCCGAACGACTCAAAATTTCCGCTACCGGTTCTCCAGAACTGGTCAGAACCCGCTGAAACCCACCTCTGTACTCCTCCCAAAAAAAGTGCTGTTATTCGCTAGTTTTAGAAAATACACTTTTTTTTTTTTTAATTTGATTTATATGCCGCCCTTCTCCGGAGACTCAGGGCGGCTTACAGTGCGTTAAGCAATAGCCTTCATACTTTTGTATATTTATACAAAGTCAGCTTATTGCCCCCACAAACTGGGTCCTCATTTAACCTACCTTAGAAAGGATGGAAGGCTGAGTCAACCTTGAGCCTTGGAGAGATTCGAACCAGCAGTAAATTGCAGGCAGCTGTGTTAATAACAGGGTGCTTTAAACCACTATAGTACCAAGGCTCACTTTTCCCAAAAGGTTTCCACAATTTTGGCCACGACTGTATGCCTTCACTCACTTTGCGTTATGTCTGAGTGGCCGGTGGCCTGAGGAAAACTCCGGCTGCCTTGTTGCCCTCCTAGCCTTTTGAATTTTGGGCCTTGGTTTTCATCTGGATGTTTTAAATTCTGTTTTTTAATCCCAGATGTGCTTTTCCGAAAGGCAACTGGACTTTCTTGGGGTTTTTTTTTTTCTTTGAAAACATTTAGCTTCTCATCCAAGGCAGAACTGAAGAAGCTTCTTGGATGAGAAATGAAATGTTTTCAGGAAAAAAAAAAACCTCAAAAAAAGTCCAGTTACCTCCTGAAAAAGCATATTTGGGACAACCATGACCTGGACGATGAAGAATCTCCATAGACCTGTGATGGCAAACCTATGGCATGCGTGCCACAGGTGGCACGGAGACCCATATCTGTGGCCACGCGAGCATTGCCCTAGCTCAGCTCCAGCATGCATGCGTGCACTGGCCAGCTGATTTTCAGGCCTTCTGGGCCCACTGGAAGTTGGCAAACAGGCTGTTTCCAGCCTCCAGAGGGCCTCCGGGATGGGTGGGGAAGGCTGTTTTCGCCCTCCCTAGGCTCCAAGAAAGGCTCTGGAGCCTGGGGAGGGCGAAAAATGGGCCCACCATGCCATTGCGTGCCAAAAGAGGGGAGATGCGGAGGGGGTCACTCACGCATGCATGGGGGGGGGCGCACTGAATTATGCGTGACCCCCCCCCCATGTTCCCCCTGCTTTTGGCACACGACAGCAAAAAGGTTAGCCATCACTGCCATAGACATTCTGTTTTTAACGTATCTCTTTATTCCTGTATCTCTGTGGTTTTATTATGCTGTTATTTAATCGAGATAGGCTGGGTAAGAAATCTACTAAATGAAATGTCCCTCCACTTTCTGCTTTATTTTACAAAAATCATGCGTTTCTCAAAATGGTCGAAGCAAGCTAGAAAACGAACGTGGTCATTTTGAACAGAAGCATCCTTCTTTACACCAGGGTGGATCAGAGCCTCTATGAATACAGCTCCAGGTTGTAAGTGCCACCTCTGGATACCAGGAGTCTCAATTTTGCACTTTTGTCCCCTTCTGTTCCTGAGCCACCCCTGGGGTTTCACAAGTACTTACTGCAACATTTTTGCCTTTGTTTTTGAACTTCCTCATGCGTCCATCTTGCTCGTTTGTGGTAGGCATGGCCCACGTTGTGCAAATCCGAGACAGGTTGTTGGCCAGGTATGTCTCCTTTACACCTAGGTGAAAAAGAAAAATAGTTGACTCAGGAGCTCAACTTCACTCAGCCAGTAGTTTAGTTTAGTTTAGTTTAGTTTAGTTTAGTTTAGTTTAGTTTAGTTTAGTTTAGTTTAGTTTAGTTTAGTTTAGTTTAGTTTAGTTTAGTTTAGTTTGTTTTAGTTTTAGTTTTAATTTATTGTCATTGCACATGGTACAACGAAATTAAATGCCGTCTTCAGTGTACGTTATAACTATAAAAACAAAAACACAAACATACATCCTTTACATTCTATATAATTGAAATTGAAAACCCGATATTGCACTATAACCGTAGAATTCAATAGGGTTACTGCCCTGGGATAGAAGCTGTTTTTCAGCCTGTTTGTCCTTGTTTTGATTGTCCTGTACCGTCTGCCAGATGGTAATAGTTCAAAAAAAAAGGGGTGCCCAGGATGAGATGGATCTTTAAGAATGTTTTGAACTTTCTTAAGGCAGCGGGAGCTATAAAGCTCTTCCAAAGAGGGGAGAGGGCAACCCATGATCCACTGGGCAATGATATTAACCCTCTGGGGAGCTGTCCTATCTGCCACTGTGCAGTTGGCGAACCAGACACAGGTGCAGTAAGTTAAAATACTCTCCATGGTGCAGTGGTAGGAGGTCACCAGCAGTTTTTCCTTCAGTTGTTGTTTCCTGAGAAGTCTCAGGTAGTAGAATCTCTGCTGGGCCCTTTTGATCAGGGCTGCCATGTGTTCTGCTGTCCCAATAGGATTCTCCTAATGGATTGGATAGCATTTATAATTCACCCCAAATTCATTTTTTAATGGAAGAGGAAAAGAGTGTTGTTGGTTTTTTTTGCTTTGCAAGCTGCAGCAAATTTAGTTTTGGGCTGAGGCCAAGGTGCATTGGTCAAGGCAGAGAGAAAGGAGATTTTAAAAGGCAGGGCAATTTGGTTGCAAACTAGGCTGAACTGCTAGCACCTTGGAAAAAAATTAATTCTAGCCCACGAAGAGCTGCAGAAATTACTTTAAAACAGACTCGGGTGTTGTACTCACATTTAAAGAAGTCAATTACAAACCCACCAGCTCTATTGGCAAGAGACACTAAGTTTTCTTAATTTTTCACTTGAGCAGCTGAGGGTTTTCTCCTCTAACGTGTTTGGTGAAGCCAGACCTCCTAATTATTGTATAGTCTAAAGCTCCATGCATGAGTTAAAAGGTAAAGGTAAAGGTTCCCCTCGCACATAGGTGCTAGTCGTTCCCGACTCTAGGGGGCAGTGCTCATCTCCGTTTCAAAGCCGAAGAGCCAGCGCTGTCCGAAGGCGTCTCCGTGGTCATGTGGCCGGCATGACTCAACGCCAAAGGCGCACGGAACGCTGTTACCTTCCCACCAAAGGTGGTGCCTATTTTTCTACTTGCATTTTTTACCTGCTTTCGAACTGCTAGATTGGCAGAAGCTGGGACAAGTCACGGGAGCTCACCCCGTTTACGTGGCGCTGGGGATTCGAACCGCTGAACTGCCAACCTTTCGATCGAGAAGCTCAGTGTCTTAGCCACTGAGCCACCGCATCCCCTATGCATGGGTTAATGATGGGTTAATTATTCATTATGGGTTAACTTGGTCTTGTAGTTAAAGCATCAGATTAGAAAATGGGAGACCATGAGTTCCAATTCCATCTTGGCATGAAAACCTGGTTTAGCTCAACAGACAGAAGCACTGTAATTTAAGACCAGCTGTCTGCAATTAAAGTAAGATCGAATCTTGCCAGGCTCAAGGTTGACTCAGCCTTCCATCCTTTCTAAGGTAGGTAAATTGAGGACCCAGTTTGTGGGGGCAATAAGCTGACTTTGTATAAATATATACAAAAGTATGAAGGCTATTGCTTAACGCACTGTAAGCCGCCCTGAGTCTCCGGAGAAGGGCGGCATATAAATCAAATTTAAAAAAAAATAAAAAATGGCTGGGGGGACTTTGGGCTAGTCCCTCTCTCTCTCAGCCCAACCTACCTCACAGGGTTGTTGTGAGGAAAAGAGGAGGAGGAAGGTGTACTAAGTACATTTGCACCTTGAGCTCTTTATAAAAACGCAGGTGGGATAGAAATAAGATAAAAACGTAATAACCCAGGTTAAGCATGCAGTCATTGAGAGCCACTGGGTAAAAAAAACAAACCTCAGAATTATATACAAACAACCAAACCAAACCTTCATTTAATTGTTATTTACTGGGTAACATTTGCAAAGGCAAAAAAAAAAAAAAAACAAGACACCCCAGAATGAATAACATGCCTTGGACATAAAATTGAATACATTTATAAACTTCCTTCCCTGCCTCTGTTCCTTGTCCACAATAAATTAAAAGGCACGCAAAGAAAACCAAATTACACCCCAGCTACTCACTGTTTCCGTGTACAAAATGCTTTTAGCAGCTGCGGCCGCTGCTAAAAGATACTTAAATTTCCCGGGAAAAGGGTCAATCACCCATCCTCGCCTTTTGATTGGTTCACACCTCCAAGAAGCTCCGCCCCTTTTCAGGTGCCTGTTCTTTACATAAGTCTCAGGGAACAGAACTGCGGGGCGAGTGGGTTCCCTCTGCGCCTGCGCAGAAGTGGTAACTTTATTTATTTAATTTTTTTGCACGTGTGAATGGTTGCTTATCAAGCCTGTGATGACGGGCGATGGTTAAAAAGCTGCAGAGCAGCGTTGATTGGCATGGCCACGTGGAAGCAATCCTCTTTAAGTGCATTAGGACTTACTTCAGAGTAGACCCCCCTAGAGGTTTGAATCCCCTTATGTTGAATAGAATAGAATAGAATAGAATAGAATAGAATAGAATAGAATAGAATAGAATAGAATAGAATAGAATAGAATGCAGGATAGGATAGGATAGGATAGGATAGGATAGGATAGGATAGAATAGAATAGAATAGAATAGAATAGAATAGAATAGAATAGAATAGAATAGAATAGAATAGAATAGAATAGAATAATAGAGTTGGAAGGGACTTTGGAGGTGTTCTAGTCCAACCCACTGCTTAGGCAGGAAACCTTACACTACTTCAGACAAATGTTTATCCAACATCTTAACTTACGAGTAAATGGGATTTACTCTTAAGTTTTGGTCCTTCATTCTTCTCAATGGACTTGCTTTCAAACTGACCTAGAATGCAGGACCAGCTTCCTGAACTGACTTTAAAGGAGAATATTTGCAGCTCAGGGTTGAAATGATCCATTTCATTTAATAGAAATAGACGTTTTGTGATCCGACTTAGGGAACGTCATCAGTGCTAGAAGGAAGTGGGGTTTGTGGAGAGAAGGAGGAAGTGGGTCAGGAGGAGGAAGAAGTGGGGTCCTTGGTGCCCTCTGAGCTGGGTTGTTTTCCTGCAGACGTTTCATGGCCCCACTAGGTTACATCATCAGGGCTAGTACTTGCCAAGCACTGATGATGTTATTTAGGTGGGTCATGAAACGTCTGCAAGAAAACAACCAAGATCAGGGAGCACCGAGAACCCCTAAATTAACTTTTATCTCCCAGCACAATTTATTAAACCCTTCCTCCAAAGAACAGCCCAACAGATTGGCTTTGAATAACATGTACCGAGTCACAGCTGATTTGGGGAATCACTATTTTCATGCAAGCCAGCCTCCATAACTGGCTGAATTGGTGAAACCAAGATCTGGTTCATCATGAGTCAGCAAGGGGTGTGAACAGGTGTTAGCAGACACGTGGTTTAAACCAAGTCTCCGGCCTAATGGATGCCAAGGAAGGCACTGTGGATATTTTGAGATGCCACATCGCCTTCTCTGGAAATAATTTCAGAAGAGCGATTTTTAAAAAGAGAGAAAAAGGCATCCCTCGGCAAGCTGGATTCATTTCTTTTCCAGACCATCATCTGTTTTTCTGCAAATTAGAACAACACACCGTTGCCTAGGGCAATTCCAGACTTTCTTAGCATGGATCAACCATCTCTCAAAATAGATGTTTAGATAAGTGTTTTGTCCTTCTTTGGACCAAATCCCAACCTCAATCTGGGGCTGGAAACCCAGCGGGAATACGATGAACGGGTAGCAACAGCTGGGAATGATCTTGCCCCATCAAAATAGAAGCCTCTGCCTTCCTTGGTATTTGTTTAGGGGCTAAGAAAGCACCTGCCAAGCAGACGAGCCCCCCCCCCCTTTTGCTCAGCCTGAGCTTAAGGGGGAAGGAGGGAGAATTGTGGAGGGCAGGACTCATTGGGGAGAAGGGAGGGAGATGATGGAAAGGGAAGGAAAAGGAAGAAAAGGAAAAGAGGAAGGATAGAAGATGATGGAAAAGAAAGAAAAGAAAAAGGAAAAGAGAAGGAAAGGAAAGGAAGGAAGGACAATGGAAAAAGGAAAAGGAAGGAAAAAAGATGATGGAAAAGAAAGAGAAGGAAAGAAAAGGAAGGAAAAGAAAGGAAGGAAAAGAGGGAAGGAGGAAAGCAAACCATATATCTTTCTTTTTTCAGCAAGCCGGGCTGGCTTAACATATTTTTAAATATTTTAATTGGTTTGTCTTTTTAAACTGGGGCCAAATTAATATATATTCTTTTAATTGTTTTTAATGTTTGTATTGTATGTTTTTATCTGGCTGTACACCTCCCTGAGTCCCTCGGGAGAAGATGCGGTATATAAATTCGAAATAAAATAAAAATAAAATAAATAAAGGAGAAAGGAAGAAAAATGGAAAAGGCAGAAAAGAGGAAGGAAGGAAGATGATGGAAAAGAAGGAAAAGGAAGGAAGGGAAAGAGGGAAGGAGGAAAGCAAAGCAAAAGAGGAAGGAAGAAAAATGGAAAAGGAAGAAAAGAGGAAAGGAAGGAAGGAAGATGATGGAAAAGAAGGAAAAGGAAGGAAGGGAAGGAGGAAAGCAAAGCAAAGGAGAAAGGAAGGAAAATGGAAAAGGAAGAAAAGAAAAGGAAGAGAGATGATGGAAGAGAGAGAGAATGAGAGTG